TCTTTACCGTGGTAGATTTGAAGGTGGGAAGATAAGGAATTCTTTGACTAATGGCTTTTATTTTCTCCAAGAAGCAACAGGCAAAGTCATCAGCTGTAAGTGGCGGGGTAGGAAGAAGTTGTCAGGGGTTTGGTGAGAGGGGAAGGTAATTAACTAATCATTTTCTAGAGTGAGGGAACAAACCTATTTGGGTACCATCCAAGGATTTCCAGGAAGAGTTAAACGCCTACCGTGTTTGTGGTCATGAACATAAAGAGAAATTTGTGAGTCAGAGTTTGTGAATTTTCTCAACCAATTTTCAGCTGCTCAGGGGTAAGCTCAGTGAAATTGTTGGATTTAAGCAAGTTTGGGATTTTGCCAGACAAGTAACACTAAGTCCCAAGGAAGCTGACAGTGCTTGAAAGGTACAACGTTGATGGAATCTAAGCTAGGTACAGAGGAATGGGAAGACAAAAGAAGAATGATAGTGGAAAAGTGATGGGCTCAGTGGATTGGCAGTCGAAGACTCCTTGAGGGGATATGAAAGTAGGTGCACTTTGGCCTAGAAGGTTGTGGTGAGGGTGTGAGACTTGTAGTTGAATTTCAGAGGTGCTGTAGTTGCCGGTGTTGAATAGGAATGGGGTGACCATAGGGGTGAGGGTGGTGGCTGAGTTGGAGTTGGCGCCAAGAGGGGCAGGGAATGGGGAGATCAGCGTGTTAGATGTGGTACCACATGGATGTTAAAGCCTCTTAGAATGAGGGCAGGAATGAGAAACAGTGAGCCAGGAATTAGAGTCTTCAGTGAATGAGGGGAAGAGCCGGGAGGTCAGCAGACGGACCACGATGGCAGACAATATTGGTGAGATGGATTCAGTGCCGCAGGAGATGGGATTTTGAAGGAAGGAATAAAAAGGCTTGGGAATGTCAGTGGAGAGCAAGGAAAACACCCACCCCAGTTTTAGACCAGTGGAAACCTGCCTCCACCTGAGAGGGCTGCAGGGGACAGGCAGAATTCTAGGAGGGCCTGAAGGGACAAAGAGGTTGAAAACATAGTGGAGCTTGCTAAAGGTGGGTTTCAGGTGATGGAGGTCCAATGCACGGGCTTGGGAAAGAAGGAACAGAAGAGGATTGGATAAAACTGGGCCCAGGAGGGCTTCCCTGGTGGCGCAGTGGTTGGGAGTCCGCCTGCCGATGCAGGGGACTCGGGTTCGTGCCCCGGTCCGGGAAGATCCCACATACCGCGGAGCGGCTGGGGCCGTGATCCATGGCCACTGAGCCTGCGCGTCCGGAGCCTGTGCTCCGCAACGGGAGAGGCGACAACAGTGAGAGGCCCCGCGTACCGCAAAAAAAAAACAAAAAAAAAAAAACTCTCTTGATTCCTTGGCTTGGGGATTTGGAGGCCTGAGGTGATAAGGTCTTTATCAACATAAATGAAGGTAGATGGTGGAAGTTGAGCTGGTTTGGGGGGGATGATCCCCTCCAGTGGGTCCAGAGGGAGACAGTAGGGAGGAAGGGAAACTTCTTGGAGGTGGTGTGGGTCACAGGCTCACAGCCCAGACCACCTCTTCAGCTGCGGTGGCTTCAGAGGGCAGCAGCCTCAGGGGCAAAAGCGTCTGGGCTGGCTGCTTTGAACATCCCAGGCAGAGATAAGCTCCAGAGGAGATGGTTTAACCAGCAAGTGGTGTCCTGTCCTCTTATCCCTGCTCATAAACAATAGATTCCAGGCATGCTGCTTGCTTGGGATGGGCCCAGAGGAGCAATCTTGGTGGGTCACATAAATAACAGTTCCAAGGAGCCCCCTTAGGCCAAAGCTGGGGAGGAAACGCACTTAGAAATGGTGGCTGCTGGCCCTCCCTAGGTCCTGAAGACAGGCGGAGAGGTTTCTCTTTGCACACCGTTCTTGGAGACTCCCCTGTGTCCCGTGAGGGACCATCCTAGGAACGTTTGGCATCACTGCCCTCCCAGCAACCCTGTGAGGCAGGGGTGTGTCTCTACTTGGCCTATGCAAGAAACTTGCCCAGTGTCCCATAGAAAGTGGCAGAGCTCAGAACCCGTGCTCCTTGCACTGCTCCTCCCTGCCTCTCATTCAATTCTTCGAGCATTTATGGGGCACCTACCATGGCAGTCACTCAGCTAGAAGTCAGGACACCCTGTCCACAGGAGGACAGTTTCACAGCCCTGGTTGTGCACCAGATCACCTTTAAAACCCTCCACCCTCAGATCTGACTTCACAGGTTGAGGGGTGGAGCCCAAGAATCTACATTTTTACTTGAATGATACTTGGAAATCACAGCACCGCTTCCCATTTATGTGGGGGCCTCTCGGGCCACCTTGGGGGGTGGAGGAGACTGGTTTCCCTTTCTAGGCAGGCAAGAAAAGCGGAGTGGCCTGGCTGTGATCTCTTGCAGCTGGCTTCAGCCTTAAGCAGGAGGGAAAGAGGCAGCCACCCCCCATCTCCTCCAAGGTGCCTGGAATTCCACAGTCAGATTTATTCCTTTGGGTTAGGTTTTATCTCCAGCTAAAATGGTCATCTCTTTGTTGGGGTTGCGGGGAGCACGTCAGCTATTACCAGTTGAATATGGGTGAGTTTGTTGAATCAGCGCACTGGGAGAGTAAACAACAAGAAAAACAAATCCTCAGTCAGGACCAATTGTGCCAGCTCACAGCCCAGACAAGTAACAGCGAGAACACCAGACTGGGACCCACCCTTGGGAGCACCTAGAGGAAAAGTGGGGAGAAAAGAGGAATAGGCTCAAAACCCAGGGGACTGCGTTGGAGTCTCAGGGGAGGGCCCTGTGGCAACTGGAGACCCACTGGCGCACACAGGAAATCCAGAGGGTTAGAACAAGGATGGTTCAACCCCCGGACTGGCTACTGGGGCAGGTGATGGGAGTCCTGAGGAGGGGGTCCCAGGGGAGGGCATTGTGGACAAAGCTCTCCCCTTGGCCTGGGAGTGCCAGGGAAGGCTTCCCGAAGGCCTTCTGAAGGCAACTTGAAAGAAGACTCTGATTCAGTGGCGGGTGGCTGGGAGAGGAAGGGCACGAGCAGAGGGCCAGCGAGGGCACAGCAAGTCTGTGCAGAGGTCCCTCCATCTGGGGGAGGGGGCCGCCTAGAGGTGAGGCCGGGCCTAGCCGCTGTCTGAATTCTTCGCTAGCTGCACTCCCTTCTGCCGCTTCAGAGGTGGCAGGAAAAGCGGGCGGAGGGCAGAAGTGCTGAATCACTGGACTCTGCAAACCTGGGGCACTGCCCTAGCCGGGCCCTCCCTGACCCTCCGAGAAGTCTGCCCCGAGGCTGCAGGGGCGGGAACCTTCTCCCTTCTACCCTTCAGGTTTCTGTGACTGGTCTAGGAATGACACTGATGTTAGACGGATTAACAGGAGAAGAAACACTTTAATTATACTGGTACCTACGCACAGGAGCCCCACAGACATAGGAGACTCACGGCACGGACAACTGAGGCTTATATACCAGCCTGAGCTAAGGAAAGGGACAGGGGCCTGGGGCTTTTTGCGGGGAGCAGGCAATCCGGGAAGGTGAGAGGGGAAATGTAAGGAAAACTAAGTTTGCCCTGCTCTGCAGTTTCTCAGGTGGGAAAATCTCTCTCTGGTAAAGGCTCTCTTCTGAGCACTGACAGTGGACACCCTCGCAAAGGGAGATTTCCTATAAATTTCCCTACCAAAGAGTAACTTCTACTCTGTTTTTACAACTTCTCCCATATCTCTGTTTCTCAAACTAATCAGCTCAACGTGATCCTGGTGCCGAAGACACAAATTTTGGGGGGGGGGGGCGATTCCACTCCCCTTCAGGCCTCCTTCCCTCCCACCACCCCTCACTCTGAACATCTTCTACAAAATCAGCTGGGGGGTTAGAAGGATTAGTTTATCTTGATGGAAAGAGGAGCTGATTCCCCAGTCCCAACTCCTGGGCGCTTTTAACTCCAGCCAAGCAGCTGGCCTGCCCTGGCAGGTTATTTTCTCCCCCCTCTCAGAGGTGGCCGGGGACCACAGTGCCTCCCCGGGCAAAATAAAAAGGTAGATGAAAGAATTACAACATAAAAAAAAATCTAACTGAAAAAGAAAAGTCCAAGAACAACAGGAAGCTGATCAGGAAGTTCCCAGGGAAGATGATAATATTTGAGAGTCGTGCTGAAAGCGGAGGCTGAGGACAGAGGGCGTTACAGGGACACGCAGCCATGGTGGCGGTGATCGTGCCACCCAACCCTCCACTGCCCCTTCTCCTTTCGCAGGGTGTCCCTGGGCCTGCTGGCCAGGCCCTGCCCACTCCCAGGGGCCCCAGGCACACCCCTGCTTAAACAGGCAACGCACACAGGTATAGGCACACACACGACAACTTCTACACATGCTCGCACAGATGCACCTGTGCACATGTGTGCTCACGCCAGCTAACGTTTGTGCATGGGGAACCTATCTGCACACAGACGCAGAAAGGGCAAACCCTCAGAGAAGCATTGTGTGCACAACTGTACAGAAGGTGACAGACGGTAGGCCCTTCCTCTCACTTGCTCTTTTTTAACCACCCCTTTCCCAGGCAGCCAGGCCTCTGATGGCGTTTGGCAGAGAGGCTTCTCACAGTGTGTCCTCCATCCCCTCCCCACCCAGGGCAGCCCTCCTTGGGCCGTGTCCTAGCTCTGTCTTTCCAGACCTGTAGTTCTCAAACTTTTTGATCTCAAGTCCTTTTTATGCTCTTAAGAACTATGACGACCCCAAAGAGCTTTTATCAATGTGGGTTATATCTACCACTATAGTGGCATTGTTTTCTATTTGTACAAGTTTCTTTACTGTGAGCTTAATACAGGACAGCTGGATTCTTTTTTTCTCTTTTCTTTTCTTTTTGCGGTACGCGGGCCTCTCACTGTTGTGGTCTCTCCCGTTGCGGAGCACAGGCTCCGGACGCGCAGGCTCAGCGGCCATGGCTCACAGGCCCAGCCGCTCCGCGGCATGTGGGATCTTCCCGGACCGGGGCACGGACCCGTGTCCCCTGCATCAGCAGGCGGACTCTCAACCACTGCGCCACCAGGGAAGCCCCAGCTGGATTCTTATATGTGCTTCTGCATGAAATCTCTTATGTGTTTTGGTTGAAGCATGGGAAGAAAGTCAAGTATCCCAGAGGTAGGTAGCTGGAAAGAGACTCTCGCAGATGCCCTGTGTCAGGCAGCCTGTAAAGTGTCTCCCAGGGCTCCCCACTGCCTGATCTTCGTACCCTTCGTAATCCCCTCCCCTTGGGTGTAGGCTGGGTCAGATGACTCACTCCAAGGAAGTGAGTGGTACAAGTGGTATGGCAAAAGTGATGGCATGACCCTCTGAAGATTACGTCCCAGAGAGACTGTGGCTTCCGTCTAGAGGGGGCCCTCTCTTGCTCTCTTGCTCGGAGAGAAGTCAGCTGCCATGTTCCAAGCTTCAGGATGGAAAGACCCACCTGACAAGGGACAGAGAGAGGCCTCTGGCCAAAATCCAGTGAGGAACTGGGGCCCCAAGTGAGGAAGCTCCTCACTGAATCTTGCCAACAACCACGGCCTTGAGCTTGGAAGCGGACGCTCCCCCAGGTGGGTCAGATGAGACTGCAGCCCCAGCCGACACCTTGACGGTAGCCTGTGAGAGACCCTGACGGGAGGCATCCAGCTAAGTCCTGACTTACTGTGAGATACCGCGAGGTGATAAATATTTGTTGTTTTAAGCTGCTGAGTCTTGGGGGTAGTTTATGACACACCAAGAGATAACTAACGCATTCCCTGAAAAAAAATCTTAGAGACCCCCAGGAGTCGTCAGACCTCACTTTGAGCACTGCTCCTCTAGACCTATCTATCTTCAGCTGCTCCAGTGGATTTTCCCAGTCAGTATCTGCTCTTCTTTCAGGGTCCTGCTCTCAGCTGATTCAAGGAAGAGTGCTGGTAAGGGACATAGGCCAGTGACAGGTGATACGCAGGTGATGTGCACACAGTGCCTGTTCTTGACGTTGCTACTTCTTCATGACAGTAGACTTTCAGGCAGTGGGCAGTGCATGAGAGATATGATGGCAGGTGGGGACAAGGTTTTAGGTAATAGTCTGTTCCCTCCACAGCCATCCACACTCTGCCCACCCCCATCCCAGTGCCCTTTGGGGAAATCAGGCCGTGCCAGGCCCTGGGTGATCTTAATCATAAATCATCCTATTTCCTCTAACGTTTAGGTTAACACAAAGACAGCCAGAATCTTTGCTTTCCAGTCAGTGAAAAGTCTTCTGTCTGAATCACCACATGTTCATACAGGCCCCTCTGTTTGCCTCCAAAGTTCCCCAACTGCTGGTGTCACAGCTCGTTTTACAGATGGAAAAGCTGAGGCAGGAAGAAGAATCAATGGTGTCCAATCAGGGCCCCACTGTCTGTAGTGGAAGCAGGAAACCAATGTTCAAACAGAGGAGGGATTCCTTGAATCCCCATCTACCATGCGGAAGGGAAGGTGCCTGATTGCCTATATCTTCCTGAGTCTGGCTTTCCTACTCGCAAGAGTAACACCAACCCTAGTGATGACGCCTCACATCCTAGATGCTTAGGGTGGTCTAGGCTTCCACCACTGGCATGTGCTATTGAGGACTGGAATCCTGGACACCATCTAGACACACCAGCCCACTGCAGAGGAAGGCAGAAGACCCTGGCCCAGGAGGTGATGTGACCAACCCAAGGTCACCCAAAGTTGGAGACAGTGCCGGGGTGTCCGACAAGCCTCTGCTTACCCTTCCCCCCCCAGCTCACAATCTGATTAAAGCTTGCGTGGGGCCCACCTCCTCCCCCAGGCTGTAGGGTCTGTGAGGACTGTGCTGGGCTCGCAGCACATGGAACTCCACAGAAGCTCAGTGATGACTGTGAATGGATGAGGAAGCTGGCAAGCACCTGAGTTTGGTCTGTGCCCAGGGTTAGAAAGCTTTGCTGTGGCTAGTATTAAAGGTTAGCTTCTGACAAGGTCAAGGTGAGAGGGTCAGTCTAGAGCCAGGATGGGGTAATCAACTATAGGAGAGGGCTAGGGCATCAGGCTTTGTTGGGGGTCAGCCAGTCTCTGGCAGGGTTTAGAGATCCATCTGGCGGGGATCAGTGGTGAGAGCTCTTTGGCTGGGGTGAGAGCTCCGTCCACGGTCAGAATCTGCTCCTTGCAAAGCGAATGATCCTCTGTGGGGCTTTGCGCTGCATCCCTGGAATCCCGAGCCCTCCTGCCTGGTCCAGAAAGTCCAGTCTCCTGAGCAGCAGATGACGTCAGCTCTGGCTCCAACAGTAGAGGGGGCTTTTGAGTGGCACCAGGGGTCACACTCTCGGTGCTGGGGGTTGGGATGACCTTGCTTCTAGGGCGTCGTCCTCAGCAGCTGGCCTGGGATGCAGACCCTGCATGGAGGGCGCAGGGACTAAAAAGACTTCAGACCCTTGGAGGCATTTCCTGTTTTCCAGTGAACTGAGAACTCGGCTTCCTGCTTAGAATAGTCCATAGGGATGGTTTCTTTTTTTGGTGGTGGGAGGGGTGTCTGAGGGTAGAGGATGTAGGCTTTGCTGGGCTTGAGGACCAGCTCTCAGGGCCCTGCTAGGAGGTGGCACAGAGAAAAGGGTGGGAAAGGAGAGTAATAAGAGTCCCCAGATGCCTCTGCCCGATTTCCCAGCTGCACCTTCCTTAGTGCTCACGTCCGTAGTCTTTAGAGAGAGCAACACAGTCTAATGCCATCAAACAATCGTATCATTTCACAAGGAGGTGGAATTTCTTAGAAGAGGGAAGCCAAAAGCACGCAGGGCCTGTGTTGGGACAACGACTAAGAACCCAGTGGGAGGAGCAAAGTCTTTGGCCCCAACTGGAGGCAGATACAAATCACAGGCTTCGTCCTGGATCTGCCAGGGGCTGCCTGCATGGCTTGGAGAATTTCCTGACTTTGCTGTGCCTCAGAACCCTCACTTCTCAAACGGGGGACCTAATAATGACCACCTCCCCAGTGGAACGGTGCCCAGCTGGCCCAGGGAAGGCACATCGGCAGCCAGTCTCCTTCCCTCCGACGGAGGGCAGAGGGGTACCTAGGCAAGAGATAGGGGCACATCTGTTCCCAAGCCATCTAATCAGCTCCACTTCTGCCAAAATAGTTCTCCTAGCAGCTGCTGCTGGCTCCTGCCCAGGCCCCTGCCTCCCCTCCCTTCTACCCCTGCAGGCACATCCTGGTCTCTAGCAATCACCCCGCTCGCCTCGCTTCTTTAACTGCCTGTTGCCTAGTGATTTGGCGATTTGGGAGAACAGACTCTCCTGCTTGGCCCCAGCCCCCTTGCCTGTGGCGGCATTTATCCTCACCAGGCTGGACTCTATCTGTCTTCTTCCCCTGCCAGGGATCACCCAGGAGCCCTCACCTCACCCCAATATCCACATGAGAGACAGTTTAAACACCCCCAAGCACAGCTGCGATGGGTGCAATGCAAAGCAGGGCCCTTTAAAGAAGGCCATGAGCATGGACCACGATTTTGAAGGAGGTATTGACCAGAAAAAGGCCCTCTGATCCCACCCCTACGGTGGGGCTGAGCTCCGGGGGAGGAATTGGCCTTGGCTAAATGGGAGGGCTACAAGGGAGGGACTACCCAGTCCCCTCCTTGCTCTGAGTTCATATGCTGTGTTGTGGGTCACTACTGTTGCCTCTTGGTGAACAGTGCCCACTAGGATGGGCCTTCATGAGTGGGACCTCCTTAGAGCGGCTGACACGGCTGGGGGCACAGAGTCACAGACTCACGTTGCCAGGGCAGTGAGCCACTGCCCACTCCTCCCTCCTGGTCTTTCTCCTCCTTTACGAGTCCCTCTCCCCCCTTGTTCTCTCCTCCCACTCTCCTCCTGCTCTCCAAATTCACACCTGGCCTTGCACGTTGTTAGGATGGTGTCTTTGTCAAGGGACAAGGCTAGAGCGTATTTTATTTAACAATAGCTTGATTTATAACAAAAAATATTCAGCCCTCTGGTCTGGACCTCCATGTGTACCTTTGCTTCAAATCTTAGGGGTGGCCTGGATCTTCTAACACAATATATAATTCACACTAATGGTCATGTTTCTTGCTTACTGTCTGTCAATAACCCACCCCCATGTAAGATTTGTAAGAATGCAGATTTTTCTTTAGTGATGTCTAGGTGAATGGCTGGCATGCAGTAGGAACTTTATGAACATTTGTGGAATAAATTTATTGAATAAATGAGTGAATGAATAGTTCTGTCACCTGTCCTATGTGTAAATACTATGTCCTGTCCAAACAGCTTCTACTGGGTCTGAGAATTTGGGCAATTGATTTTATTGTAGAATGGGCCTAAGAATACAACAGTTTCCTGGAGTTGTAAGGACTAAATAAGTTATATAATTTCTGAGCCTCAGTTTCCTCATCTATAAAATGGGGATAACTAGAATATCTATTCCACGTGCTTTTTTGGTGAGGTTTTAAATAGATGACTTACGTGAAGTACTTAGCATGATGTCTGGAACAACGAAGATAATACATGTTACACTTAAGTGATTAATAACCTAAAGACGGAAGCATGAAGGATGAAAATCTACAATTGGTGCCCAGAAAGGGCCCTTTCAAAGCCTCTCACGACAGCCAAAGAAGGTAGCTGCTGCAAAGTGCAGAAAGCTTGAGAAGCAGTGAGGTTTGCAATTGTTTATGCAGCATTTGGGTCCTAGAACTGAGGCTGGTCTGATCTCAACCCTCAGGCAGTGTCTACCTGACCCTGAGAAAGTAGGCAGTGAAAGCTGAACTCCCCCATCCTACACAAAGACAAGGGGGTCTTTACTCAAGAGGAGGGTTGGGCCCTCTCAGAGATTGTACCACCTGCAGAGACCATCACACTACTTTAAAGGATTCCGGGACCTTGACAATCCCCTGCTGAGACATGGTGTGAGGGTTACTGCAGCACTGCCTTTCTCGATCAGAGCCCAGCCTGCACCCTGGGAAGAGCGACCTGGTATAGACAAGAGCCACCTTTCTTTTTTTCTCTGACTTGTGTTCCCCTCCTCATTCCGGCGTCCTGCCCCTCAGCACTCCTGGGCCACCTGACACACCCCACGCCATGAAGGACCCTCTCTGGGGCAGCAAGGGAGCACAAGCTGCAAAGACAAGGTCCTGACTCTCAAACTTACAGCAGGAGACGAGACCGGGCCTGATACAGAAGAGCAGCGTAAGGCAGACGCAAGGGACAAAGCCCTGCAGATGAGGCCAGGGAAGTCCGGAGAAAGGGGTCAGGTTTGTGTTATCCAGGTAGGCTTCCTGGAAGAGGCAGTGGTGAGAGGGCACTGAAAGATGAGAAGGATGTGGGGAGGAGGAGAAATAGTAGCAATGAGACAGACAGGAGGGGAGGGATCAGGGCACAACCTTGAAAAGAACGACAAAGCCATTGAGGACACAACATAAACTGGTTAGAATCAAGTAGGTCCAAGATGGCTGAAGGTTCGACTTCCTGCAGACCTTGAGTCTCATGACATGCTCACCGTAATGCATTAGCATATGCTCAATGACACCCTCCCAGGTGCCATGACAGTTCCGAGGCAAAAAGTGGGCAGTGGCCCAGTTCCTAG